TGGTCTGGTCCAAGAATCTTCTCACGCCCCTCCAGTGTGCGCCGATTCAGCGCCTCCGATTCATCGTACTTTCCTTGGCATTCCAGCACAGTAGCCAAGTTGTTGACACTTGTTAGGGTGTCCGGGTGGTCTGGTCCAAGAATCTTCTCGCACCCTTCTAGTACACGTCTGTTCATCAGCTCGGATTCATCGTACTTTCCACGGTGTCGCAGCGCCAGAGCCAGGTAGTCAACGGCATCCAGGACGGTGAGATTGTTTCGGCCCAATGATTCCTCAATATCCTCTAATAAATTCCGAAGCATCTCCTCGGCCACATCTGCCTTTCCTTGATATATGCGTACCCTCCCCAGGAGCATAACTCTGCTGGGACCTTCCTCATTCCAGTCATACTCTTTCCTCTCTTCCCGAAGTGCAATACATCGACGCAATTGAACCTCTGCATCATTGTAGGAACCCTTGCCCACAAGGTACTGTGCTAGGCGAAAGCAAAGCTCTTCGGCAATGGGATCCGTTGAATGTTCGGTTACTACAAGCACATGCGGAATGTATGCAGAACTAACATCTCTCCACGTGATCCAATGCCGAGGGAACAACCTTGAAACTACTTCCAGCGCAGTAGCCCTCCATCGATTCAACTTCTCTGTTGGTAGGTAGACTTGGAGAGAAAGCTGGACTAAGCGATGAAGTTCGTAAAATGTCTTGCCCTCACACTTGACAGCTGTAACTAGTGAGAATCCCAATAGTTTTCCAATTGCCTGACGAAACTCAATTGGATCATCCATCCCTTCCAAACCACATTGGCTCAATAGCTCTTCGGGTATGTTCTGGCGATCGAAGAATGCAATTAGACGCAGAAGATCCGCCCCTTGGGGCATCTGGTCTGTGATTCGGTCAAAGGTGATAAAGTACGTAGCTAGGATGCTTTCGGTTATATCAGTTTCTCGTTGGATATCGCAAAACGGCCGTGAAAGTAGCCGCTTTGCTTGTTCGTCACTTGCTCGGAAAATGGACCAGTAAGTTGATGGCGGTGTCTGTGTTACTGTCATGAAGGCTACCGCTCCTACAATGGCCAGTGGGATGTGATGTAGGGAGTCCAGTATCATGGCGATCGCCTCTTTTTCCTCATCCCTCGAACCATTCCAGTTCCAGTTACCTAAGCGTTTCAAAAATAATTCTTGGGATTCATCCTCCTCCATTTTTCCAACATCGATCCTATGGCATCCCTGCCATGATGCGACTTGGAGAGATCTGGTGGTGAATATTAAGGTACCCTTAGGGCCTTGTGGTACAAATTTGGAGATGCGACCGCTATTGCCGATAAAGTCCTCCTCGTTGTCGCCATTGTCAATGACCAGTATCCAATCGCCCTTATCTGGTCCTTCAAACCACCTCTTTATATTTAATAGGAATTCCTCTTCGTCCATCTCGGCGCTGGCTATTGGAATTCGGATATGCTGCGCAATGGCTCGGAAACCCTCACTGAACTTTTGTACTCCGCTTCCAGGCACCCAAAAAACATTACAATCGCTCTCGCTCGCCCGCTGATAAACGTATTCGAGTGCAATCTGCGTTTTTCTGGGCAATGTTAGTAAACCTTCGAAATTCTGGCAACAATGATGGATACATACCCGGAACCGCCCAATCCGTGGAGTGCTATCCGGTTGTGGTTGCTACCCTCGGAAAGCCTCTTTACCTCCTCAATGAGATGTTTACGGCCGGTGAACTTGCTGTTTCTACCATATGGAATCATCCGATAAGGCCTAGATGCTTCTCCTAGTTGTGATACCGGTAGCACATTAGATTTTGGCTGGAAATCTCTCGGGAAGCCTGAAAATACCTCTATCCCCAGCCCCAAACACGCACCCTTGATATATCCCCCCATGATTGGTAACATTGTTCAGGTTGACGGTGTTCGAGTTATTATTATTACTACCAAAAACATTCTGATTCCCTGAATTCCCGCTGAAGTTTCCGGTGTTATCGGTTTGCATTTTTCTGGAAAGATTATTGGATTAGTGCTCATCATTTTGAAATGGAAAAGGTTAAGGGAGAAGGGCATCCCACCGATCCATCATGTACTATACAGGCGTGTATAACTCACTGTAGGACTGTTTTCGAAGGTCGGGTAGGAAAGTGATGGTGTCGCTAAGATATCCGAAGTGGGAATAGTAGTCTATCGGTTGCCGATCGGGGTATGTATCGCTCAAAAATTGTTTGGCGAGGCCTGACACAAGTCACTAAGGGGGGGATAGGTCGAACAGGTAGTGGACGACCCAACCTTGTATATAGAGATGAATGATTGTGTAGTTTTGAGGGAGTTGTAGGATGTAATCCAAGCTCGAGCTATGGGAATTTAGTGAAGTCCAAAGATTTAGCATACGGGTACAGAACGGGTATTAGAGCGACAGCGTCCTGAGGCAGTCCGGTAATGCGGGATCTCAGAATTCTTAACAGCCCGGGTGGGGAAGGCGGCCACCTGATAGCTAGTTCCCCGGTAGTTTGTGGAATACCCTGGCGCTTGGGCTAACATCGCCGTCCACGCAGTCATCAGCATTTGGTGCATGCCTCGTTACACCACATGAGGCTGGAGACGATAGGTCGACAACCCCTAACTGTGCATCCTCCAGGTGGACGAGCCTTTGGAAGTAGGCATCCGCTGTACCTTTTTGAAGGACATCCCATGATACTGATACGCGAACAGAGCTGCTTCGCCTCTCCTTGGAAAGAAGCCTTCGGCTCTTACTATGTTATTTTCTGGATGAGAGGCTGCCCTATCGTCATAGCGAAATACGCTCATAATCCTACCTTAAAAACTAATCAGACATCTACTGTACCGTACAATCTGAGCTAGGGCAGATTTCGAAAATGCTAGCCGACTTGGGTCAGCACGTACAAGCATGGTGGAGGCATATGGTATCTGTAGGAATTCCCTAGTGAAATATGACAAGTAGCATCGAAGGTCGCGCGAGGCTGGCATGATCACGAGTAGGAAATGGGTAAATGTTAAGCGAGTCGAGTGTTCCAACACAGATCATGCTAAGTTGCCTGTCCATGTCCAATTGCACACAGGTTTCTACATGTCTAAAGCTTTCAGGTCCGAACAGAGAGGAGGTATGATACGTTGCTTTCCCTTCACCTGCGCAGCACGAGTCCTCGTGTGTCATACAAACCTTAGTCGGCACGAAAACATCCCCCGGCCACTTCTTGCTCCCTCCGCGAGTACACCCGGGGAGGGGCCCTCCATCCCATTACTCCAAAATTCTCAGCCATACTCTCCCGTACCTGGGCCGATTTTTTACATATCAGTAGGACTCTTCTGTCCCGGAATGGTATGATGTGAGATTCCGGCTTCCGACCTACAAGTACTCGAGTACCACAACTCCCTCTCCTGATCGTTCCACCTATAGGCAAACAGATAATCTTATCCCACAGATTGTAGTGGGCCACCCCAAGCAGGGCGCTAATCAAAATGGGATCCTTGCGCAGCCCGCTAAACTATTTTCCCTAGCATGATATCTGTACCGTTCGGGCCTGTCAATTGATACCTGAGACCTAAACCCTAGTTAATGTATATCCGGCTCACTCAGTGAGTAAATCTAGGTATGATACCGTATGCACCAAAAGTGTCCCACTCTCCAAGGAGAATGTGGTTCTAGATGCAACATATGAGGGTAAGGTTCTAGAAGCAATGCTTGCCATATTGCAGCAATTTTCGTCACGCTAATGCATGAACACCCCTGCTCTCCGGAACGTTAAAAGTGGGCCACTTTTTCAACAGGCTATGGGATAAGAAGAAATCATAAAAAAACCCCGTATTCATGATTTTTCTTGTCCTCTTCCTATCCCATCCCATCCCTTCTCCGTTGTACTCTCCACTCTACTTCCCTTGTCTTCCCTAGACAAACTCCTTTCCTTCTCCACATGAACCCTCCACTTCTGTACTTCTATTTCTTCTGCCGAGATGATGATCTGCCACAATATATTTCCGGGTAAACAATTTGATTATACATCTTCCATCTCACAAAATAGGGGAAACTAATAATGCGAATAGTAACTAACTAGTTTACAAACTCGCTTGATGAGGTATGAGTTCAATGGGTGTCCGGGTGTGAAGGACACGTCAGCGCCATTGTTTTTTAAACTCTGGACAACGGCTCATTGTCTCTGACATCACCGTATGATACTGCCGCCATTGGTTTCATAGGAACGTGGCCGAGCTGTGGTTCATAGTCCTTCCGACCCGGCGGAGGGTATGGTGTTAGGGGAACGAGAGATGTAATGGATTTTCCTTAAATTTATTAGAACGTGGGGCTGCATAGGGCCTAACGGGAGCCCCCGGGGACAGCTACCATAAGGGAGGGCAGGGGGAGGTGGAGGGATAACTCGGATTGTCTTTTGGCATTTAGGATAATTAGGTGAATAATAACAAACGAGTGACTTGTAATGATTCTGGGTCGTAAAGGGGCTACCAGAAGGTGTTAGTCGGGTGGAAAGACATATGATACCACATAGTTTCAGATTACAACTAACATATATCTAAAGGGGAGAAAGAAAAATACAAAATGGAATGGAAAAAGAAGAAAAAAAACAGCTACATGTCTCACTTCCAACGTGCTACGAGTACAATGCGATAGCCCACAACCGATAGCCACTAGTTTGTTATTCTTGCTAGTTACACATGGCCTAGGACAGTACTGTCCCCGTATACCCCTACAGCTCGCCATGCCGGTAGAAACCAGTAACCCACAATTGCCACCTCTAGCCCTGCGAAGCTGCTAGCGGTACAAGGTGTCACCTTGTCGGCCCACCGCCCTTGCGGAAGACTACTCTCCCGCAAAAAAAATAACGGACCATACGGCGAGCAAATCGTGGCCGCTGACCCTCTTGGTTTGCTGGCAGTGTCTGTCCTGCACGCTGCTCAAACGTCTCGGAATCGTCAGAATCTGCTTGGAGCCGCAGCACCCTAAGTTAGCCAGGTTGTTGGCACTTAATTGGGTTTTGGGATGGTCTGGTCCAAGAATGTTCTTGCGCTGCTCTAGTGCATGCCGATGCATTGTCTCTGATTCCTTGTACTTCCCTTGGCTTTGAAGTACACTGGCGAGATTGCTAACACTTATCAAGGTGTCTGGGTGGTCTGGTCCAAGAATCTTCTCATACCCCTCGAGTGCACGCCGGTGCTTCGCCTCGGATTCAGTGTACTTTCCTTGGGATTGTAGCACAAGAGCCAGGTTGTCGACACTTGTTAGAGTGCTTGGGTGGTCTGGTCCAAGAACCTGCTCACGCCCCTCCAGTGTACGCCGATTCATCG